CTAACATATTTATATCGCATAATATCATACGTCACATTTGTCTGTTCTCGCAGACTTATGAAACAGGATTTAATTAAGAAGAATAGACGGGAGCTCATTTCGTAAAGTTACAAATTGCTAATATTATTGGAAAATTGATAATTACAATCGCAATTTTTTTCCGATTTTGTTTTATTTATGGAAGGATAATAAAAGTGTTTATTTATCACCTGTCTCTAGAGATGGGTAAATATATTATTGGTTATTTCGACGGCCAATTTTTCGGCTGTTCCGTAAAAAAAAAAAGCGTATTGATCAACATTCAAACGTCACGTATGACAAGCGCAGCGTCGATACAACGACACGAGAATAATGACGATTGGGCGCGATCTCTGATTTCGCCCGATAATAATACATCGTCGGTCCAAGAAGCGTTTAATTGAATAGCCGCTATTCGACGCGAATTATAAACATGATTATTGCGGTGGCTCGTGCGGTGTTTCATACAGTTTCGCGGCCGCGAACATGGAAATGGTCGGGCTAGATTAGCGCGCAAGGGACGAAGGATGCACTTATACTGATTAAAAAAAGAAAAAAGCGAAAATACTTGTCGCCGGAATGCTTTTAACGAATTAATGCCCCCGTTCCACTAGCACTTTTGCGATACAATATTTACTTTTGCTCGGTAAGTCGTGTTTGCTTGCGCGCACATGTGTGCGGCCGGTCCTACGCTGCTTAAATCATTTGTCGCAATTTAATAAAATGAAAAATAAATATAAGCAACGCGAGCTTTAATTGTGGCGTTAATTATCCGCGCTTACAAAAGCTTCTTCGCTGACTTAGGAAGTATAAGTTACGGCATTGCTCGAAAATTATTCGGGAAATATGGCTATTTATCAACATATGTATAATACATTCGACACTGTCCCTCGAGTATACATTTTTAAAAGTATATGAAAATTCGTGGACTTATCGTAGATATCATTTTCCCTTTTATATGCTAATATCGTATATAACTTCCAATTATACGTACTTTGATACTTTTCCTGTATATCTCCTGTATATCTCAGTATATCTCGATATTGAAAATATAATTTGCACGATCTAATATTATAAAATCAAATCACACATTTCATGTTTAAATAAAAACACCAGGATACGGTTAGAGAGTTAAATCTGTCAAATAGAACCTCGGAGAGAACGGAATTTGATCATTATGCGAACGTGGCGATAAGACGTTGTCGTTGTCGACGAAACGGAAACATGTACTACGACAGAAAGAAGAACGGCCTGCATACCGTGGCCTAAGGAAAATAGAAACCGAAAGAAGGGGAGAAAAAAGGTAGGACGGCGGTTCGGGGTAGAGAAACTGGAGGAAGAGATGCCGCTGCGGAAAAATATAACCTGTTGGACCACGAAAGAGCGAGAGCCACGTAGGTACGCGACGGAGAGAAGGCGCAAGAGAAGTTGGGGAGAAAGAGAGAATGGAGCCGTGAGTTAGACGAAGATCTCGCTAAAGCGAGACGGCCGTGACGAAAGAAGAAGGGGAAAGACGAGGAGAAGCGAGCAGGACGAAACGGATGGAACGGAGAGAAGGATAGATAAAGAGAATGAGAGAGAGAGAGAGAGAGAGAGAGAGAGAAGCAAAGAAGGACGCGTGTGCGGCGTCCCGAACCTGCCTCAACTTCGGCTCGACTTTCGCGGTTCGATTCCTGATCCGATCGATCTAGCTCGTTGGTGGTAGCACAGTTAGTATTTACACTTTGCTCTTTCGTTCCCCAGCATAATACCGTTAGTGTGTACTATTTTTCTGCACGTGCCTCGACTCCTCCCATAATTTACTGTCGAGGTTGAACGAGACAACAAACACGCTACGAGGAGCGAGAAGGATAACTGCTATTTTTCGAAATTTCGAAGGTCGCAATTCGTTACGCATTTCCTATACTGTCCTTTCTCTGATATAGGAGCGCGTGGCAGTAAAGGTTCTTTCTCAATATCTTCTATGCATTTAAATATCTTCGCATTCCACATTTTATTCAAACTTTGGTCTATGAAATATTATTATTGGCGTAACATGAAGAATGCAACCTGTTGGACCTGTTTGCATTTAATAGTACGATAATTCTATCACGTTGAGACGTTCAGGAAGTAAAACTGTTAACGCAAAATGCCTTATCCGACGTTCCACTTTTAATGAGTTTACTCATCGATTAAAAAATTATCAATGTCGATTCGACTTTACAGAAGGATGATTTCCTTTCGCAGCTTTAAAAACATAGAAACAGAATAGGTGAAGTAAGCTTTAAGCTGTAAGAAATCAACCAATCGTTGTCGATTATTCTCCTCACATTCGATTGTGATTGACCAATATCTTAAAGCTTAAAGCTTATTTCATCTATTGTGTTTCGAAACTTATCCGTGAACATGAAAGTGGCATTTGGCGTAAATATGAGGTGAAAATTGGACAGTACACATTTAACATAAATACGCAATGAAAATGGAAACAGAGGCATGAGTAGCGACGTGAAAGGGAATATAATTCGGACGATGTCATCGGGAGCAATTTACACTGCGCCGAACACGTCGATCGATAAATTAACGAGACATATTCGATACGCATTCGCATTTTTATCGGACTCGCTTCTCGTGGAACCGCGTTTCGACGACTGTTATATGTATTATCACTCTGAAAATCGCATAGACGGATATTCGAAAAATTGTTAAGAGGCGCACTGCCGTTGTAATTCGTTTCAGTGACGAACGCTCTAGTCCCTTTTTGCGCCGATTTTACCTTTTATCAGCCGATAAACGCGCCAGTTTTTAATCACGCTCGCGATACGAACGAAGATTAACGGCGAGGAATGATGACACGCGTATTCCGGATTTTTTAACACTTCAATACTTTTGTGTTATTGCCCGCTTTACTCCGTTTTTTTTTAATTTAATTTAACTGCGGTTTTCTCTCCCTTACATGTATATCAAACTTAAGAGATTAATCGCATATAAGAGATAGCATAAAATTGCATAAAATTGATACAAGAAAAAGAAATTTTATCCTCCTTTCTCGATCTTATCATTAATTCTGTGAAAATATATCGTATTATATAAAATATTCTATATAATATATTTTATGGCTAAAAACTATCGAATATTTAAAAAATTTTATATATACTCGTGAAATTGTACTGTATTTTACTTCAAAAGAAGTGACGTAAATTATATTTACGCGATTTCTTGCTAAAGTAAAGATCGAATGATGCATCCAGCTGTTAATTAAAAACAACGACGCGAACGGGAAAAGCACGTGTCCGAATTGAGTACGCCTCTGCGCGCGAATATGTCGTCCGGGGATTATCTTTCACGTAGATACGTTGGTCTAATCTGGCGCGGCTGTTGCGACCGACGAGAGAAAAAAAAAAGTCGCGAGATAAGTACGATCCGACCGAGTTCGTCATTGACGAGCAAATTGCGCGATTCGCGCCGGACGTGTGTCATCGAGGTTCATGGATGATCGTCCGTCGATACTTGCGACGGACGATTCCGAAGAAGTGGAAATTATTTACTTATGATACACTAGTGCGAACTTAAAGAGACGCTCGCTGACCTCTCCACGCGTTATGTCAACGTGTGACGGCGTTATCGACATGTACATAACCACATTTTAGAAGTAACAGAAGCGAATAATATCGAGACAAATTTTACATTTGTAAATTAGAAGAATCCTCATTATTAGCGTTCTAATAATTTTCACGTTACGCAATCTTTATTTGTTTCTGTTAATTAATGTTACACAATGTAACAGCCGGCATGCCTGATTTTAATTAATAAATAACAGATTCTTTAACGGATTCACGGAAAAGGTCTCCGAACTTGATATATTTTCAGTAGTTATTAAATTAATTATAGAACGAAAACAAACACAACAGATCGATAGCCGTAACGTCATCGCATTGAACGTTAAGAATTACATTGACAATTGGGGTGTTGTTTTATAAATATTACAAAATTATTTAACGATACGAGTACTTTTATATATATATATATATATAACGACAATACAAAAAATTTTGTAAAACATTACAAGTCATTTTTAATATTGTAAAATATTACAATATTAACTAAAGTTATTAAAATGTTGCAAATGATTTGATAATGATTTGGTAATATTAAAAAAATCATTTGTAAAGTTTTACAAAATCATTTCATTTTCCTTCAGTACGCTTGTACTCATTTGTATCGTTCTGCAAATATAATTAGGCCAGCGGCGAGCTGGTATGAAAGTCAAGGAGAAGTAACCAACGTCGCGATGCGCATTGCGAGTAATTTGGCGCGCGTAATGCCGAGCTGTACGCGAAGCACGAACGGCACGAGAACAATTTTTCGAACTCAGCGCACTTCGCCGCACCTCATCGTGTCGTCGGCGCTGCTGCCGCCGCCGCCGCGCGGGATTTACACAACTCTTTCAATTAAAACTTTTTCGCAGTTTATCTTTCCGCGCGCCGAAAAAAAATTAGGTTCCGCGCGCGCAGTAACGAGTTACGTAATGGAGCGCGCCATGCTCCGACGTGCTTTTCGAGCTTTCACTGGAAAAAAATTCATCGTCGCGTTCAACAAGATTCCAAGGTAGGGAGAGGACGAGGGTTAATGCGTCCATAAAATAAATTAGCGTGTCGTCAAGGTAAAAGGTCTTAATTTCTGCCTGCTGGAGCGTATCCTCCTAATGTATTTCTTTCTGATCCCTTACAAGGGACCTGACCTTCAATATCTGACCTGCCGATTCATTGTTTCGCGTTGGTACCAAAGCTTTTTACCATTTTGTAACCGATAATCCGAGAAAAGTATTTTTTTTTCAAACGAAATTCTTCGAACTCGAAAAGGCAAACTGCCTCGTTCCATTGCTGTTGATGACGAAACGCAACATCGGGAACAAGTACCGATATATCACGTGGCGATACAAACGTGTGGTAATATGCAATACACATGTTGTGCATATGTGTGCAGGAATACGCGTACGGACTCACCTTGTGGTGCTGCATGATGGCAGTGGCCTTTCGCTTGGCGGACATATTCAGTTCTCCGGGGTGCCCTCTCTGCCCCCCTTCGCGGAGCGGGAAATATCTGCCTCGCCGGTCTCTATTCGACTGTCCGCCTCTGTCCTCCTGTCTCC